ATCAAAAGAATTTATAATTTTAGGTGTATCTTAAGGTCGATGTTTGTTGTCGTTTTTCTATCACAATCGCTGTCACAATTCAAAGATGTCTACGATTACTATATAGGATAAATGGCAATGTGTCATTCCCACGATTAAATATTCTGCCGCAACGAATAGATATAAAACGCGTCAGCATCGATGCTGTTCAGATTCATCAGATAACAGCCACAAATATCGGCACAACAACATTAAATCTGCAAATTTTATTAGAAGAATATCCTGAATTTCGCGTTCTTCTGACGGCAAACGATAAAAATTCGGAGATAGGTAAATAATCTTTAGTATTTTAAAGTCATAGAAGAAAAAATAATATATATATATATATATATATATTTTTTTTATATATATATATTATATATATATATATATATATATATATAAAATGATCTTTCATATATATATATATATATTATATATATATATATATATAAAATGATCTTTCATATATATATATATATATATATATATATATATATATATGAAAGATCGTTTTTATGAATATATATATTTATGAAAGATCGTTTTTATGAATATATATGTATATATATATATATAAAAAACGATCTTTCATATATATATATATATGAAAGATCGTTTTTTTTCCTTCTTTCTGATACCTTTATAATTTATAACTACTTTAATATTTTTAGTAGCATAGATTTGTAACTTAATAATTTTGATTAGAAAATTTAAAATAACAAATTAAATGTTGTTTTCAATTTTCTAAGTATTTTATAAATAAAAAGGTACGGAAGGAATAATCATCGCTCCGGGTGCTAGCCAAAAGCTCTATTTACACTTTCAACCTGTCGATCTGACTAGCTACGCTTTCTATTTGCCGATTATGATAAATCAGCTGCTTGGTTCGGTGTCGACGTTGAATTCTAAGAATATCAGATCGTTGCAGCTTCTAAAATCGCGTAAAACTCATTACGAACATTTATCGGGTTTTATCATGACATCGTTACCCGATAAGCTCTCTCTGCCCACGATCTTTATCGATGGTACCGTTACTAATCGTGTCGTTTTCTTTAACAAGCTTATGTTTCAATTCAACTCTGCAACTAACAAAGTAAGACATATATTGATAAAACACGAAAAAGATCGAATATATAAAAAAATTAGAACATTTTTCAAAAAAGAGCGAAGAAACTTTTATCTCTTAAATAAAATTATTTTTTCTCAATTAGTTATTACATTTAAGATTAATCCTTATATAAGTATCTTTAAGTACTATAATCATATAATATACTATAATTGTTAACTTATTATAGAACAATAATTCGAGATATTTTTTTCAACAAAACAATTATTTGATTGATTCTATAAAAACATGTTAATATGATGATAAAAAATGTTTAAATTAAATTATAATAAAATTTCATTTATTGATTGAGCATTTTTCAAAGATAAGATTAACTTTTCGTTTAAATATATATTTTCTTAGTATTTTTCTGATAAAATTTTCTTCTACTAACTTGAAATATTAATTTCTAATATTATAATTTGAAATTTGATCTATTTAAATAATTTAAAAAAGTGAAACAAAAAAGAAAAGCTATGTAAAGCGATGGAAAATATTTTTATAGAACTAAATGGAATATTTTTGTTTCTTTTAAGCTAATTACATCAGTTTACAATTTTAGACTGCATGGCATTTAAAAATTAAATGCAATTTTATGTTTTTTATTACATATATAATTGTAATAATCGTATATTTCTTTTTTCTTTTGTTTTTCACTACTAGGTATCTGAAGAATTTTCTATAGAGAATCGAATAACGCCAAGAGACGTAGAGGTGTCAATAAATATTGAGAAATTTAACGAAGAGGATTGCCCGTTTACCATCGAGTGGTCTCACGGCGTGGAAATTAAACGAACATTCGATTCAATCGATTGTATCTTATATCCTAGCGGTAGTGTCTTCTTTGTTCTGGAGTTTAAATCGAAGAAACGAGGCAGTTTTAGTGTCGAGGCGCCGATATATGTTCGCGGTGAGCTCTACGACGGCATGTTCAATAAATTACATCTGGACGGCGAATTTCCCGCCAGTTCGATCGACATCGAGCCAACGAAGATATATTTCACACCTATTCCTCTTGGTACAGCGATAGAAGAAAAGTTCAAAATTCGAGCAAGGCACTTTGATAATGCGACGTTTATAAGATTTAACTTCGCGATGACGCCACAATGTAGTAGTAATTATAAAAATGAGTTGTTACGCATCGAATTCCCAGACGGCAATTTTATTTCTCCCCAACCGTAAGTTACATTATTATATTTAATTATATTTAATTTTATATATATATATATACATATATTATACATATTATATATATATATATATATATATATATACATATAAAATTTAAAATATGTTTTTGTTGCACAAAGATGCGTGGAACTTGAAGGAAGAATAATATTCAAAAGTAATCAACCGATATCGTTTCGTTCAACAATTGAATTTTGTGACAATGAAGCGCTTGCTGCATGCTTTTTAACAATATATGCAACAACGGACAACAATTTACTAACGACATATTTATATGATATGAAATCATTTATCTTTGATGAGACATGTACGACAACTAAATATTTGGAAGAGCATATTTTGTATCCATTGTATAGCACAACAGACGAGAATGATTATAATGATGGAGAAATACCTCCTACACGTAAATCCGTGTGTTTTTATTTTTTTACTCTTTTGTTTATGTTACATAAAAGATATTTTACAATAAAATTGACACAATTTTGCACAAGCTTTTAAATTTAGATTTGTATTTATAAAATAATCTCTACTTACATTATTGAATAAATGTAATCTCGCCAATTGCTATATAAGATCCCTTTTTATATATTTGTAACATCAGTCTTTGAATTCTTTAAAATTATATCAGTTTTATTCTTTGTCTTCTAGAATTGACAATAGCTTTATTTTCTGATAAGTAAAAACAAGACCATTTACTCTATGTTATATTTGCTTAAAATTTAGAGTGAATTTTTCGGACCAAGATCCAGCGTTATTTCTCATTTTGATAATCAAAGTAAAAGTTTCGTTAAAAAAATAATAAACACAAAGTTGCATAGATACGAAGAAATAAACACTAGTAATGATAGAATGAATAATTTGCAAGCAAATGGAAAACGGGCAATAGATGATAATGAGAGATGTGATGAAGAAATATCAATTCATAAAAGACATTCTGCGTTTCCTATCGACTTCGGAGCGAGTAAAATCAAGGATCCCGAAGGATTATCGCATCTTCATTATCCCATCAACGATCAAAATAAGTAAATTTCGAAAAGTACAAAGATTATATTCACATCTACACATTTTGAGAACTTAAAACAAACTAAATTATAATTAGAGTAACTTGTTTAACTTAAAAGCTTATAAATGAAATTTTAAAATTTTTTTCTCAAGCTTAAGTGCAATAAAATTAAATTTACTTACTCTAATGATTAAAAACCAAAAGAATTAATTACTAATTAATTTTAATACAATTATTTGAAATTATTTAGTAAGAAAAATATTAATGCACAGAATAAGATAATGAAGAGTAAATAAATAGTTTATTCTGTTTTACTATTTTTATAGTATATATATATATATATATATATATATATATATATATATAATATATATTTGTAATATATATAGTATTTATAGCATATATGTATATTTATATGTATATTTGAATTTCTCTTTTTTATATATTTCTGGTAATATTCTAAAAATCATTAATTTAAAGTCTTTTAAAATTCTTATGAAAATTCTTACGAGATGAATTCAACATATTTGTTTAAATAAAATATCATGATATTAAAATAAAACAACATGTTTCATAAATATCTCGTATAAGATATTTATATTTAAATTTATTTATTTTAGTGATTGCGAAAAATATATACAGGAAATAATGACAATTGTAGAGGAATGGCTATATTCAGGCCCATTAAAATTTCATTTCTATCCAAACATCTCTCATGGGATTACGGCAGCTTTTTCAAACTTTTGCTTTAAAAAAATATCATGTATGAGACGTTCTAAATGGAAAAGTAACACAACTATACCGTCATTTATCAACATACTCGAATTACTCGCAGGATCAGACGTTCGCAATTATTTGGGAGAATTGTAATGCAGCAATATATATATATATATATATATATATATATATATATATATATATATATACGGTATTCGATGCATATGCATATTTTCTCAGATATATTATTGTACTTTCTTATTCAAGATTGAATCAACCGTTACCTGAAAATGACATCGAGAGAATAAATCATATCCTCCAGTTGTATGATAAAATGCTCGATTTTCTTCTATCTCGAGGAGCGTATTTAATTCATGTCTCGGCCCAATATCTCCTAAATTACAACGATTACATAATTAGCATTGACATTATACAAAGTAATGTGAGTAAACTCTTTATCCAGTATATATTTATATATATCTTTATTTATATATACTTTAATAGTACATATTTATATTATTATGATAAAATTTAACCCATTATTATATTATAATCATGATAAAATTTTATCATTAAAAGAATATATGTAAAGATTTATTTAAAATTGTTTCTATTATATATGAAAAGCTGTGCAATTAACTGTACTATATATTACATAATAATACATTACAGATACATAGAAGGAAATCTTCCGATACGAATCATACTGAAATACAATGCGAACAATTATCTCGACAATTATTTGAATCACGAAACAAGCAATATTGGTTGGACGTAATTTTACAAACATATAAATGTTTTGTATTTCGCGGAATACACGATCATAAATTCTGCAAGTTATCGTTCTTTGCAACGCGTTCCTCAAAAAGGCCCACAATAAATTGGGAATCAATAGTATCATCTACATCCAGGTTCATTATCTTACGTTACACTTTCATGTATAATAATTTACAATTATTTCTAATCATGTTTATCTACAACTTGTCGGAACAATACGAACTTCATAAAAAAATCATATGGAATATCGTGAATTTGCCGAGTAGTAAACCTACGTTAAATAATCGTTGTCCGGAAGAAAGGTTTCTATTGTCTTGGCTGCAATATCATTACGAGCAACAACGTATGCGAGATTGGATGACCGATCGGCGTGTAATCTTGAATCCGCAAGAGAAGCAGGATATAGCCGAATACCGCGTGATCCAAAATTTTCATCGTGATTTATCAGATAGCTTAGTGCTAATCGCCGTTACCGCAACCTACTGTCCATTTCTAATCAACGAATACTTTGGTAATATATATATTTGTCCGAGGGACAAAAGAGAGGTAATTAATAAATAATGATCGCTTTAAATTTGATGATAACAACAGCATATATTGTTAAACTTAAAAAATTTTTTAAAATTATATTTTTATAATTCTCTTAAATTTTTTTACTGTATATTTAATGTTATTTTATTAGTTTTTTATTTTGTATTACAAAAATTGAGCAAAACTACGAGTTTCGTAAATCTTTAAAATAAAAATCTATAAATAATTAACTGGATTAACTTTCTGGATTATTTATGTTTATTGTCTTCTAGAATGTCTAAATCTTCCAGAGAAATGCTACATAGATTGCATGAACAAATAATATTTATCGTCATCTGATTTTAAAAAGCTTTGCTTTATTATAGATATGTTATATAATTGTGTGTGTAGAAATGTGAATATCTCTAAAAATTTAAATTATGTATTGAAAATATGTATAACTTTGCTTCTGATGCAAGTCTTGCAATGTCTACGCCCAAGCACGACTCAAAATTTCTAGCACATTTATTATTTAATTTCAATTAGCTAAAACATTACTAGGACGTCAATTTTATTTTACGGATAAAATCATACATTATATTATATTTAACATTAATTATTATATATCAAATATAACATATTTAGGACAAACATCAATAATTCAGAAAAAAAGCATTTGCGAACCTATATTTTATTTTGAATTTTTATTCTAAAGGGAAACATGTTAATATTCATGGTTTTGTCCATTACAATTAAGGTTGAACAATCTTCAGTCTTTAATCAATCTTTAATTATAACATAATCTTATATGTATATATGTATATATGTACATATTATATGATTTTTATGAAATTTCATATGTATATATTTTTCATAGGCATTACACAATGCTATTTGTTTGATTACTGCTTGGAGAAAAATACGCCTTGGGTTTATGATTACTCCGATGCAACTAGTTAATCCGAATCAAGTGCAAATGTTAATGCTGGTCGTTTATCTTTTTCAAATACTACCAACATATATGCCTCGTGCCAAGGTTTTATATACACATATAATTCATAGTAATAATTAATTTAATATATTATTTTATACCTCGATACTTTTCAAATATGAGAGATTTTTAAATATTGAAATGTATACAGTCTCATATATATATAAAACTACTACTAAAGCATCGCAACTGTTATACTTGCTTGTGTCATTATCATTTTATTACAGATTAAATTTAACTGTTCACTATCCCACACCGTAACGAAACGGTTCAATATTTCGAATCCAACAGACAACACTGTAAATTATTTACTTTCGTTTGTAAACAATATCAATCATTTTTTCACCATTTTAAAGCCCGTGTCAATTTTACGTTTGAACGCGCACGGTAGTGGTCAAATACAGATACAATTTCACGCCAGAAAAATAAAAAAATGTAGAGGTAAAACATAAATTTTTTAAATAATGTTTGTATCTAATTCTTTTAGGGATTACAGAATACGTGCGTTTTATTAATTAAATCATCTAAATATCTTTTGCTTTTGACATTCAGCTAACTTGAACAAAATATTTATTATCGATCGAATCTGCAAATTATCTAAAATTGATTTAGAAAGATATTTAAATTTTCACATATAGCGTACTTGTTATTTTGTGGATATGGTGTTGGACCATATTTCGGAAGAAATCAAACTATTATTTTAGAGGGTTATATCGATAATTTAGAAATTTCTAACAAATACACTATACAAAGTAAGCTCTATGAAATTATTGATACAAGTTTGAAAATCAATATACCCTATCGGAATGCAGCAGAATACGATATATGGATGACAGAAGAACGACCAAGTCATCTCTGTAAGATAATAAGAATCCTTGAATATTATCATCAAAGATTTTCAAAGTTTACTTTGTGATTATCGTGTATGTATATATATATATATATATATATATATATATATATATATAATATGAAATATATTATCAAAATTTCTCTAGTTCAAAAACTTGTCTTATGTGTGTGCAAATTTATTTCAAATTTTTACAATATTTAATACGTAATAATAATACCTAAAAGTTCCTATAGACATGCTTTATAGCATCAACTGCTTTGAAAAAGTAAAAAAAATTGTCAAAATAAATTTTAAACAATGCAAATAAATAAAATTTTACCCTATAATTAATTTTAATTATACTTTACCGTAAAAAGATTATAATATAATATGACAACTATTATTTGATTCTGAATTGCAAAAGAAAATAACAATTCTCTAATTTGAATTAATCAAGATTTATTTAGTGTCATATATATAATTTTGTAATACTTCTATGATTGTCATATCTCAAATTGATTTATTATATTTTTATTTTATATAAAATTATATATGTAGCTATTCATCATAATCAAAAATTGAATATTTTTAGCAATCCTAAAAATGGTACAGTGGTGTGAATTGCGTGCTAAAAAAATACCGAGAAGGCTTTTCTTGAATCAGAAATCGATAATCGTCGCTGAAGGTATATCAGAAGTGCTTTTATCGATCAGTGTAGCGTGCATTGTGCCTGAACAACGAACATTTTGGTTGATTTTTCAAGCAAAGACTGGTGACTTCATTATTCAAGTAAGTGTTCAAAAAATATGATTAATTATAAATCGCATATTATGATAAAAATTAAATAAATTGTCTGTAAATATCAACAAATCAAAATTTATTATATAAGCTATAGATTAAATATAAATATATTTGATATTTCATAATCAAAATGAATTAAAAACTCGATCAATGCCTTATAAAATTATCCGCAAGTCATTAATTATCACAGATAAATTCAGTTTGGCAAGCATCAATCAACGATAACATCGTTGTCGAGTGGATGAATCAAGGAGAATGTGTTTGCTCAAGTCAGCAAAGTTACATAAAAGATATTTGTCCGTTTAACATTAACATACTTATACCATCGCGAAACATTCAGCTCTGGAAATGTGTTGCTGAAATGTTTCAAAAAACTCTTGAATCAAAAGAATGTCAATTCTGGTCTAAATACTTAGGTATGCTATACTAATATAAATCATATAATACATAATATTTAAAAGATCTTAAAACACATATTTGATGGATCTTTATATTTTTTATACATATATTTATTCTCAGATATCATTTGTGTTCCTAATAGACGTTTAAAAACTTAAGCACGTGTTGTCATCCTTTAGACGTCTTTGTCTTCTTTGTGTTGTATTTACATCTGCAACTGTATCGCATATTATCACATTCTTATTATTGTTACATTTTTTTCTTCCTTTTGTCGATCAGGTACATATATCGAACTACATTTAATACGATGGTTGATGGGAAATGATATCGATTCTGCGACTTTGGAATTTATTCATATCTTTAATACCGCAGTCACATATAAAGTCACAATTTCAGACAAATCGAGTCCTCTTGTTGTACCAGAATTTTTCACTATACAAGGTAAGATTTAACATTTTAGTTGTATTCTTTATATTGTGCACCAGATTATACATCTAAAAAAAAGATATATGTACCTAATTGTATTGGTTATTTTTAAAAATATGAAAATTAAACGAGCGATAGCGTCGCGATGCCAAGTACATAAAAATTAAAAGTCATTACATAATCAAGCCAAGACGCTATCATAGCTTGTCCAGAACTTTTGATTAAAATATTTATTTAATCTAATTTCGATTATATTAAATATTGTTAAAACTATTATTAAAAATCTAATATTTTTGTATATGATGCGTTATATATAATTCTGGGCTATACATCTCATAATCTAATCGCAAATTTTTTTAAAAAACACAAGCAAAGGAAACAGTTAATTTCTTCATTACATTTTCATCAATCTATAAACAATGATACGCGTATGTATGTTTGTCTATATAGTTATAATTATATATATACCCAGATAGCCAAATGCAATGAGGTTGCTGTCATGTTGCCAATAATTATTGAAGCAACTAATTTTAACAAACTAGAGACAAGGTGAGACAGCATTATGTCTGTTACGTGGAATTCACGTGAATTCATGTGCTAATAACAACAAATTAATTGCAACGTGTCAACATATTGCTGACATGTTGTAGACAACGTAATATACCAATATTGCAGACCATTTGCTTCGTTAATTATTTGCATACAGAAGCAGACATATAGCTGCATTCGTAACGTATTCTATGTCAGCAAGTATATTGCAAATATATAATAATACATGCGATGCATTTGTTTGCTGAATATGTCATATCAAGCTTGGCTATCTGGGTATATATAAAATTATAACTATATAGACAAACATATATATATATATATATATATATATATATATATATATAGTTATTAACAAAATTTAATTATTTAAGATAATATAAAATTTTTATATTATCTTAAATAATTAAATTTTGTTAATAACTATATAATTCCAAAATAAACAAAAGTTTTAAACGGGATTAAATTATTCTAAATTTATTAAATTTAAAAAATATTTATTTTTATCTGCATTAAGGAATATTTAAAGAATTAAAAAACTTTATATTATATAATATCATAAATAGTAAAAATTCTATGTATATAGCTTTCTAATATACATATACATATGTGTGTGTGTGTGTGTGTGTGTGTGTATATATATATATATATATATATATATATATACACACACATATATACATACACATATGTATACACACACACACATACAAATTTATAGATGTAAGACCATCCTATCAGCAAGTTCCGATGAGCATACATGTTCTGCCAACGATGTCTCCAATGTATGAAACAACTATTTCTCTTACATCTCTAGATGGCAAAGAATTTCGAATATATACCATTGTATGCTTACAATCATAAAGGCAAGTCATCGTTAATATATAATTGTGTATCGATTGAATAGAAACAAATAAGAAAACGGGCTGACAGTCAAGAAACAGAACTGAAGAATCATTTCAAAAAATTTCTTTATCTAGATATGTATTTGATCTTTTTTTGGATAATTTTTAGTAACTATTAATAAATTATTATATGATATACAAACGAGTAGATGTGTGTCACGAGAATAACTAATAACGAAAATACAATAACATTACAAATACACAAAAGCTTCTGGAACTTTTGTTTCTAATAGAATAGATAGAAAAGTTGCCATATTTTGCTGCAAAAACGAATATTTTTTAATATTATGTATTTTTATTGATAATTATTCTTGTAATGTTATCTATTCTCTTGTACGATATAATCATTTATTGACAATTATTTTAAAGTGAATTTGAAGAGCTCGGAACGTATATATATGAATAATCAAAGAAATATTTTAAAAATAATTATTATTAGATTATTAGGTTCTTCTATCTTCTATATCTTGGCTCTTGTTAATTTATTAATCCGTTTTTATTATTGTTTATTAGAGCTTTTTTCGATTTTTATATATAAATTAATGAAGAATAATTTATTCAGTTATATTTTTGAATTCACTTTTCAATATAAAAAATTTAGAATTGTGTTTATAAAGAAAGAATAAGAAAAATATGAATTAAGAAGCAATATAAATCATAATTACAATATAACATAGATATAACTTCAACTTAAAACACACACTAACTTAATAAATATATCAAAAATCGTATATATACATGTGCATATATACATTTTAATATATCTTTCTTAAGATAATAAAAATAATTATACAGACATATATGTATACATATATTTGTTTAATTAAAAGGTAACATTAACAAAATCCTATTTATACAAAAAAAAAGTTAATGACTGAAATAAGAGTAAAACTTGAATTGTTTTATTTTTATTTAAAAAAATTTATTTTTAATCAATCTTCAAATATGATAAAGCCGTGTAATTAATCAAACCATAAATTTTTATGCATGTACACATGCAATGTACATTATAATATATATATATATATATATATATATATATATATATATATATAAAATTATATATATTATGCTTTATTATATATATTATATATATTATGCTTTATTTAAATACGATTTTATAAGATATTTCAAAATTAAAAACAGATTTTCCGATAAAAATAAAATAATTTAATGAAATAATCTTTAGTTAAAAAAACTTAAAAAATTTTTCATAATAAACAGAGTGTTATTAATAAGAGTATTTATTAATATTTTTTAATTAAATTTTCATGCATATGTACACAACTATTATGGTCTCTCAGTTTAATAGATGTATATTAAAAATCATATATTATATAATTATGATGTTCGCTGATTAACTTACATTTCATTTCTACACTTTCTTTATAAACACTTTTATTTTCTTAAAAAAAATCTGTTTTTAATCGACATGTAAAAGTAAAAAAGAAGAAATTGAGTCTTAAATATATAAAACTATATTTTTTAACATAAAAATTCTGTCACTGAATATATTACAAACTTAGATGCGTAAAATTTAATGTATTATCTAGTTCTCCTATTTATTATCATTTAATTGAATAAAAAATTGAGTCACGACTGAATAAATGGCAAACTATAATTCTGATATGCATAATGATGATATTTTAATTAATTTTTGGATAATAAAAAGAAGGATGAAAAAATAAACATAATGCATATATAACGATGCAGTATTCCATGCTTGAAATGATTACAAAATACATCGACTATAAGACAAGCAATATATAAATAATTTCAGTATAAAAGTCAAAGAATTTATAAAAAAATATTCTAGCTGTGAATTTTTTAATTTTCATAAAGATATTACCATTACTGCAAGTTCAAAGTAAATTTATTTTTGATATAAATCCATTCCTCTTTTATCAATCATACTTTTGACTTGAAAGATATTATTTATCTACATTAAGGCAAGTAGTGCCTTTCATCGTATCATTACATTTGCTAGGAACATGTGGACACTAGTCAAGTCAATTTGAATTTGATTATTCTTATCAAGCTTATCATACTTGCTAAATTCAATTATCTTACATATTTTCGATCAACCAGATTTTATTTATAATCGAAATATAATCACAGGAAAACTGATAAGTCATGGTTTCTTTCGAAAAATTGGATAAGATTCGGATAAAACCGAGGTAACAAATATTCCGCGCATTTACAATAAAAAATTCAAACCAAATCTTTCGATCGGCCGGATATTTGTGTATTTCTAATATTTTCTATTTCTTATGGTAAAAGGACAGCGGTAGAATGCACTGTTTCATGTGCATGTCTGTATAAATAAAAATGTCTCTTTTCCTTTGATATATTTCAATAATTCATTTATATACTATCTCATTTAAGTTATATTTATAACTATTAGACAGTACATATGTCAAACTTTTCTTTTCCGCAGTTTAGCTTTTGCTTCCTCCAAAAGAAAATCGAAAGTGTCTTCTTCATTTGCTTGAGATGATTTGCTAATAGGTGAGCTACTTGCTGTATCATCTATATAAAAAAAAGTATATTCACTATAATTTTTAAGTTAAAGATAATAAAACATCTATATAGGTGTGCATATATGCATATGTATTTTTTTTCTTACCAAGATCTGAATATTTGTACTTGCAAAATGCCCTACGACCACCAAAGCTTAAATCATATGTAGGTAGAGATGGATCATCATTACCGTGCTCTATAGCCGCATATGCATCATTTTTGTATACAAAAGTGACGAAACCATAATTATCGCTGAAATATAATGTATAATATATAATAATATATAACACATTCGAGAAAGTATTATTATAAAAAAATATAAAAACCGATTAATAAATACATACCCATGCTCACGGAAATGTACACTGATATCTGCAACAGGTCCAAAAACCTCAAATCTTCTGCGCAAATCAGCTTTGGTAATATTTTCATCTAAACGTCCCACATATATCACTCTTCGTTCCTCCACTTGTTTCTGCTTTTCTCTATTGTACCAATTGTAGGATTTACAGTAAGAGTGTACAGGCGATCTATAATAACAAATCATAAGTCTTTAATCAAACAAAATTGTCTGATTATTTCCTTACCTATATGTATTCGCATTGCTATAATAATATTAGGTTTTAAATTTGCACGATTATTCATTAGTGTCACATATTAATTATTTTCACTGAATTATACATAATCGAAATAATTACTAGCTACATAAAATCTTCTAAAATGCATGTATGCTAATATTCTACATTTTCATAATCTAGCTTTGAAAAAGATATTTAAAAAAATTTTAGAAGTTATTTTTTTTAAATATGTTTTTATTTTCAATTTTTTGAAATGGAATAGTTTGGAAATAGTTTAAAAATAAACTTTTCAACACTACAGTAACGCTTCTAATCAAATATGATTTATAAAATAAATAATGATGTAAAAAATATGCTAAATTAATATTCTATTATTATAAATATTACAATACGAATATTCTAGATTTTCATTTTTAAATCTACTTATCTCAAAAAACGTATTTTACCTCCAATTTTTGTAATTACGACGGTTATCGAAGGAATGTCTTTTATATCTATCATAACTTCTTTCGCGATCACTGCTGCCTTTCCTCCGATAATTAGACCATCTACTTCTTCCATAATTCGTGTAAGAGGAAGACCTATCAATAACATTTTTTTTGAAAATTTTAAATATTATTCCCTTGACCTAATCTAATCTATTTGCGAGCTAAATATATTTACATTTCAGTTTTGTATTATACAATTTTGTCTGGCACATGTAATAACTAAAGAATATTTAGCTTACACAAATTTCTCCTACTTTAATTTTAATAAGAGATTTTTATGAATTTAATAAGAGCCGAAATTTTATCTCTCTCTCTCTCTCTCTCTCTCTCTCTCTATGTATATGTGTATATATATATATATATATATATATATAATGTACAAAAATATATAATATATACATATAATGTACAAAAATGATATTAGAACTACAAATGAAAAAATTCTTGCAAATAAAACCGTAGAGAGGCAAATAAATAACAAATTAAATTCTTCAGCTTAAATTTTCAGGAGAAAAGTTTTGTTTTAACAAAATTTTGATTTAAAGTTTTTCGTTTTCATTTTCATGATACACAATATTAACGAATCAAATTCATTAAATCTATCTGTCATTAAAATTAAAAATATAAATGAGAAATTGTGTAAAATAATTGTGAATAAATAGTGCAGTTTTTAGATATTTAAAAATCGTTCTAATAATAGACTAAATAAATTAATCCGCATCACATTATGTACTTCTTCTCACCTTGAACAGCTAGAATCTCGCGAAAAAGATCTAGATCTAGATCGGGATCGGGATGATCTGGAACGCGAGCGAGAGTATCGTGATCTGGTAGATGTCGTATATGAGCGTGACTGTGACGACCAACTGCTGGTTGAGCTAACGGAACTGCGTCGACGGGATCGAATTCTTCGTTGGCTGCATCTGCGAGATCTACTCCTGCTTCTGCTTCTACTGTCATTTTTCATACTCTTGTTTCTATTTTGACTCCTATTTCTACTTCTACTTCTGCTTCGGCTCCTGTTCCTACTTCTACTTCTACTTTTGCTTCTTCTACTCCTGCTTCTGTTTCGGCTTTCGCTCCTACTTCTGTTTCTGTTTCTGCTTCTACTCCGTCTTCTACGGTTCCTACTTCTACTCCGGCTTCTGCTTCTGCTTAGCTTTCTACTTTTCGATCTGGATCGACTCGATCTCCTACGAAATTCATTCTTTCTATAGGATCTTTGTTTTACGTCCTTTATATTTTGTTCTCTGTAATGTGATATTGCACATCAGAAGGAAGTTTAAAAGGTTTTACAATAAGCTGTTTTACAAAATGATAAAAAAAAAGAAATATACACATATTAAGATTGATTAATTTTCAAAAAGTCTTTTCCAAAAGGCACATATAATTATTATTGCTTATATTATCATCTAATTATCTATATTCTAATATCTTATATTATCATCTAATTATCTATATTCTATAAAATATTTTTTACAGTTTTAATTAGCAATATTTTTTACAGTTTTAATTAGCAAAACTACTAATCTTTAATCAGGTTGAACTGTATTAATAAGTTTATTATTATTATTATTATTATTATTATTATTATTATTATTATTATTATTATTATTGTTACAGAAATTCATTTAAACAATTCATAGTGAAAAATATTTGAAATATCGTAACTATGAAGTGTTATATAATAATAAATTGTATTAATAAATTTATTATTATATAACACTTCATAGTTACAAAAGTATAAGACTAGTCATTTTCTATATGTATGATTATGATCTTGATTTTCAAATTGCTTTACAATACAAATTTTGAAAAACTTGCAGTTAAAGTTGCAAAAAAATGCTATTTTAATGAATTTTGTCATATTTGTTGTATTTGCAACTTTAATTGCAAATTTCTCAAAACTGCATCGTAATTTATAATATCAGAAAAATTTGGAAGCCAAAATTATAGCATTAAAAAAGCTACGAGAAGTGAGCTTGTATGCATAGATTTTTATTTGTTCCTTATGGAACCGTGTAATAAATGATATTTGATGTATTACCTCTTATCATTTTTCTCTGCAGAATCCACCAATGATCTTTTAGTAAATTCAAACACCGTTTCATATGTCTGTATTTCTATATCGCACATAAGTGGTTTTGATTTGTTTTTCTCTTCATTTATATCCGACTTAGGTTTCAATATTGAAACAATTTCCCTTTCTGACCAAATTGGATCTCCAGAATCATTTTTAATTGGTTCTGTTGTAGTGGAAGCGTGGTGAACATACAACAATGTCATGGGCTGTATTGGAGAACTTGTTCTACTATTGTCGCTACGATTTTGATCTCTCCTATTTCGATATTCCGCCAAATTTAATTTTTTACGAAACGGTGGTTTCTTCGCTTGTTCGCCTGAAGCTAAATCTTGAGTATTTTGTACAATTACATTCTGTATCTCATTATTTAAACTGTTTATAGTAGTCACTATATTTTCATCAGAATTACTTTTTAATAGTGATTGTGCATTTGGTGGTTTCTTTAATACGGAAATCATTTGCATTGGAGCACTCAATGGCAAAGTATTCTTAGACAAATCATTTCTCGATCGTAAAATATTTTGAGCTAAAACCGAGCGAATTAAATACACAGGAGAATCTTTATCAGAAGATTTGCTTGAAACTTTCGCACTCTTAGGTTTATTGGCCAATGAATCATTTGAGACACAAGACTGTTCCAAACAAATCTTCTCTTGACAGTCCTTTTGATCACTTTCGAGTCTATTTTCATTAATTTTATGTGTTTGTCCATTCAATAAAGTAAAACCTGCTAGTTTATTTGTATCACATATATCAGCCGATTCCAAATTGTTGTCTTTCTTCGAGTTACTATTGTTATGACATTCTATGATTTTGCCACATTTTGTCATTTCCTTATTCTGACTTGATTTTAATACAGATGTATGTTTTGTGAGTTCTGCATAAAAAAATTGACAAGTTTATTGTCTTTCATTAGGATAATTTCTTCATTATTACTATCCTATGAATCATACTTACTACTGCTATCACAGCTCCTAGTAACAAAGCCATTATAACAATAATCATGATCCAATTGTACTAAAGTACCATCTGTTGTCTTATTCTTAGCATTGTTTGTTACCTAAAATAGTATTATGGTTAATTAATCATTATACATTAAAAATTTACAACAAGCAATTGCTATTCAAACTATATGTATTTTAGATGCAAATATATAATATCGCATATAGTAATGAAGTTTAGAACTTACTTGTTTTAAAACTTTATTATGAGCTAACGTAGCACCAGCATCTTGTATTCGTGTATTATTACTACTACGATTTTTATTCTGTACATTTGGCATAGCAGGTATTATTGAAATAGTTCTTTTACGTCCTGAGGCCTAAAACAAGATCAGAATAAATTTGTATCAACTTGTTTACATATCATCATAATGGACTATTTACTAAAATAATCACCTTTATCCTATCAATTACTTCTTTTGACACTGAATCTGGTATATTCGTATGTTGATTACAAACTTTTGAAGAAGGCTTCTTTAATACTTGACTTTGGTATTCTTGAGTCATTTGTTGCATTGTGTTCAATTTTGTGCCAGATAGGAAATTATTTTTAGTAACAGACTTATTACGCGGATTCTTTTCAGAAGCTTCAAATTGTTCTAACAAACTCTTTACGTCAACAGCTTCCAATACTAACAGAAAATAATTCTTAATGAACTTCATCTTTAGCAAAAAGTTTTATATATCTGTATATTTGTATATCAATCCATTACCTGGTACTTCATCTGATATAGTTTCAACATCTATACAATCCTCTTGCTCCTCTTGCTTATCTTTTATAATTACATCCCTTTTTTTTCTTTTTCCTTTTATATTTCGACTTTTTTTCGCAGTATTTGCATCTTTTCTTTCAAACTCACGTGTTTCTTGAACTAATTTAGATAAAATGATTGAGTCATTAACTTTTTCTTCCTTTATTTCTTTTGTAGTTTCAGTCTTTATAATTTCCATTGGAAAATGCATCATTTCAAAGATATCTTTTTTCCCGTCTTTTCTCGTAAAATTGACTATAAAAAAAATGCATTTTGCATAAAAAAAAGGACAATAAGAAAAAAATACAACAATTACTGATAACAAACCTGTTTTTTGTTCTTCTTCCTCTAATTTTAAGTCAGGACCCAGATTTACCTCTTGCGGTAAATTTGCAATCTCTCCTTCATACATGTTATTCCATGTATGTTTTGTATCACATAAACTCATATCTACAACATCCTTGAATTCTTCAAACTCTACTAACTAAAAATTAAAAAAAGTATTCTTATTGCATAAAATTTCAAGCAATGTAATTCAAAATATAAATTAATTATAAAGAAAAAAATTTATAACCTGCATATAATTCGGGCCCGTTGTGAAAAACTTTGAAAATGCTGCATCTGTATCTGCTCTATGTTTAAAAAATAATTATTTTAATAACTTTTATAATATCTTGTTTTTTATTTATTAAAATTATAAGATTATCTTTTAAATAAAAGGGCTTTTCCTAATATAATACACATATCGATTCTACTATTCATCTTGCACATAAAAGTATTAAAATCCGATTATTAAAACTAATATACTAATAGTTTATAAGATATTTTATAATTAAATTTCATAATTAAATTATTTTTATATGTATATATGTATGTGTGTGTGTATGTGTGTGTAAAAAATGTGATATAAAATTTGAGAAACATTCTGTAAATATTTATTCTAGTTCACTAAAATATTCGCAAAAATTATGGTAGAACAATCAATATATAGAATTGATTGATAATCATATTCTTACAAAAGAACAATATTGCACTTATTAATGTTGTGTACAAGTAATGTAAAAGTTTTTACACAGTGTTTTAATACAATCATATATGTTTTTCATATATATATATATATATATATATATATATATATTTATTTATTAAAATTATTATATACACATCTCATTATTCTATATGTAAAAGTATTAACATTTCAGAATTATTTACAAGTTTACACTTCTTTATAAGATATTATATATTTTATAAAATATATCAGAACAAATTATAAAATACCTTGTAAATTATTAATTTTGTAACATATGATATGACATCTTCATATTATTATTTAATATTATTATATTAATACTTTTATGTGTAGAATATAAAAATTATAAAAATTACATGTAACAAAAATCTCTCTATTGCTCTCCTTCTCTCTCTCTCTCCCCCTTTCCCTCTCCCCCCTTCTTTCCTTCTGGTATATATAGTTGCATTAAAAAAATTGGTTGATTTCGAGAAAGATACGTACGTATATATAGATACGTATTCGTAGAAAACGAGATATTTTTCAGAAAATGTCTTTTTTTGCTTAAGACATTTTTTACAAAATACTTCATTTTGTAACCAATCCATTGTCGCATTTAAAATAAATCGCCCATGTATAACATTAAATAAGAATAATGCACCTACTTCCATTCATTGTCGTTCCAAATGGAGCTAATAATGGGCTGAGATGTATCCACACCATAATCATTTGCAATAATATTGATTAACGATTCTTGAGGCATTTCCGTTAAACCCTGTAAATAAATGTTTTCATAATGTAAAAAAGCATTTATTATTCGCAATATTCAAAATATACATCAGCTTTTTTACTTATTATTCAATTTGTCTCTCAATTTTTAATTATTTTCATTTTTTGACTGTAATAAATCAAACATTTTTTTAAAATTTTGCTTTATTATTATTAAACTTATTTACATTTGTTGGAGTTTAATTAAACTTCGTTTATATAATATTTATTATAATCAATTGAGTTTTTCAAACGAACAGTTAAATAATTATTACCAAATATTGTAAATAATAATGAAAAATATGTGATTAATTGAAAATAGAAATTTGTATATTTTTTGCGATATATTTCTTATTCTGAACTGTCCGCAACAATTTTAACACGTGCTAACATCGTACGTAATAACAACGAAGCATCGTGTATCGATATAGAGCACGCGAGTCGCAAAATTACAAGTGTCTTTTATAATTAAATAATCGAATATTAATAATAGCTATGCCAATTGAATTCTTAATAAGCTTAATCGATAACGAATCTCAATTATATCAAGAAAGTGTATTTATTATGACTCTACATGTATTACAGAGATATTACAATCCAGTCTCCGATAGGGGAAATTTTTCTTTTGGGAGTCTTTTTCTTTCCGATGTCCTTCAATCGCACAATACGCGCTCACCCTTATTCTTTTATTTTCCGCTAGAAGACTATATTTTCTGACGTTTTTAGAAAGTTTTTAGAAAGTTTTTATGACTAACATGTGAATGAATTTCCGAATGAATCTATGCATCAAGGGTGCTTTACGACCTCTCTTACCTATCAGTCGATACTTCGAAACAAATTCCAATATTAATTTATTATTTTTAATGATATCATGCTTTGAGAAATTCTTTATCAGAGAATATATCCTTCATAGATTTGACAATCATATTAATATCCAAATATTTAAATAAGCACATAATTATATTACATTTTACTAGATAAAATAATTTTAATATTGAAACATATAAATAACATATAATATAAAAACATACTTTAACTACATAAAAGAATTAAATTTTATAGGTAGCTAAACAATCGCATCACGAAAACCTCTTTGTTTCTTTTCTACTGTATATAATTTCGCGCTTCTCTTTTCGCGAAACTTTTTTTGTTTGTTTACTATGTTCTAATGTTCTAAGCTTCTTATATTTTTCGAATATTTTTGTAAGCGTAAACTATTCTTTCCACGTGCAAATCTACATCTATAATCGCGGGAATATAAATCTCACTTTATTAATTTTCTATCTTAGATAAAAAATGTTTTTATGATACGATAAAAAAATACTTATTAAAATTATATCAAAATATATACATGTTAAATATACATGTTAAATATATATGTTAATATGTATACATGATTCAACTTTTATCCGATATACTAAGTAAATAAAACCCTCATCTCTTCTTTGTAAAGATAATCTTACTTAAAACATATGTATAATTATCTCTAAAAATAGTCTAGTATCTTTCCCAATCGTATCTCTCGATAACAGAATTTCTCATGTTGTTCAAAAAAATAAAATATAGTCATCATCTTCGACTATTATTTGCGTGCGAGAGGTAGTGATGAAAAAATGGTTCAATGGCTATGAAATCTTACCTGATCGATTGTTATCGGTAATCCGGGAAAGAAATCGTCTACTGTCAATAATTCCGCTTCCATGGTACGATGATGGGAATCAAATTGAAACTCGTCACTTTGCGATATATCTGTGATACAAACGACACACCAAGACGTTAACGAACGTTTGTTAATGCGGTTAAACAGAGATTCGGGCACGCTTCGAGCGGCTTGGATCACGCGTTCATTTTAGGTTTTAGGTTATGTACAACGTGGTCGTGGAGAGAAGCGTGACGCGGAGGACACACGTGTGCGCGACTCGAAGCGATCGACCGCTCGCTTCGCCAACGGATACACGCGCGTGGGAATGGTCAAGGTACGCGCCAATATTGCGTATTTCGCGATAATAAACGCGTCCACGTCGCGCCAACCGAACAAGAACTACTCGTGCGTCTCGTGCCAAATCGAACCAGCTGTGGGGACTGGGAACAAGAGCGGCAACGAATGTCGATCGCCCGCCCGATACCGTTATCTCCCGCGATCGTATCCGAATGCGACACACACTAGCAACTCGTAAACTGTAATGTCAAAGACTCGCCAACAGTCCGGACACGATATGAACGAACGCCTAAACTCGAAGACTCTGTCGTCGACGCGCAAGGAGAGCGTTTCGTTGCATGTGTGCGAGGCGGGTGCGTATGCGTGTAAGCTCTGCGTCAACGCGCGCCGCGCGCTTGCGTCCTGCGCATATGTATAGGCCACAGGCACGTAACAAGCGAGAGGGGAAGAAAGAAAGGAGGGCGGACGAGAGAGAGAGAGAGAGAAAAGCCGGCGTTTATCCATATCGCGTACAGACGCCACGCCTCCAGAAATCAACGGTGGTATTTGGCGAAAATTGGAGCAACGAGTCGACGTCACGAAATGGTACAGATTGACGTTGCCGAAATTGGCGTCGTCGCTTACCGTGCCGATCGAGACGTCGCTTATCGCGCCAACAGCGTGTGTCATGCGGTCGAGGAACACGAGCTCGTGGAACGGAGCCGGCAGCTCTCGTTCTAACGTGTTTCCAACGTGTTAATTTAGCACGAAACTTTCACGTTTGTAACAACACCCGTTCGTACGCGATGCACCAGATACTGATATTTCGCAAGTATAATCGTGAAGACGCTACCTCTTTTTTCACCAACTATTTCAGACCCGAACATGATTTTGACCAGCGAATACACGAGAATCGTACACGTGACTACCACGTTTGCTTGGAGACTTGTCCAGTTTGCACCCACACCACGCGTACTAATGCACAATCCCCACGTATACCTGCCGCTTATATACGTCCATGCGTGTGCTGCACGTTTCTACTGCGCATGCGCCTTGCGACACACGTTTATTGTTCTCGAATTATAAGATTTTTTTTACGCATTCTCGCAGTAACAAGCAGTCCAGATACGGTTTAAATCTTTTGTAGCATTATATATTTTTGCATAGTTAAATTTGTTATAAAAGAAGAAAATAAAAATTGTATAAATAAAAACGATATAAACCTTTTTTCATAATTTTTATAAACCTATATTTTATAAAATAAAATATATATATAGTTTTTGGATGACAATGATAAATCTTAATAATTTTTTTTATTTACCAGTATCAACTGCAGCAAAAAGAAAAAAAATATACTTACAGAATATCTTTGCGCACAATTCATAATTTCAATAAAAAAATATAAATTTAATTAAATTAAAAGAGTACATAATTTTATTTTGATATAAATAGAAAATATTATAAACTTTGTCAATATATTGCTCCTATCATTTTATATATATTCTATATGTTTACAAATTTTTATAAGATTTAAAAAATTATTTGTGTGCGTTTGACTTTATCGAGGCTGTCCTGTACCGATTATGAACGTTACGCAGCACATGCATAGGAAAATTCTATACTCTTGTCTGTCTGTATCACTATTACTGAGAGCTATTGTGTACTATAACGAGAATTTTCCTGCAAAAATTAACACAAACATCGTGTCACGTAATTGATTATAGAAAATGTTGAGATTTTTAAAAAACATTCCTGCTAATAAATAATTGCGCGACACTGTATCCTGTATATTTTTCTGCTGGAAAGCTTCCAATTCATCTTCCAATAATTGTAGCAACAGCCACAGTGTGCCGCCAGTAAGCATAAATCTAGATATTTTAAGAGCTATCTTACAAGTTAGATGTCTCTAGTAAAACATTCTCTACGCTTCTTGCAAAGGTGTTTATGAGAAGCGAGAGCAAGAGAGAAAGGCAAAGGTGGGAGGAGAGAGAGGTAGAAAAGGTATTCACTTAATAATATATATTATTCTATAATTATATTAATATATATTATATTTATATATATTATATATATTATTATAATAAATATTATATATGTACATATATAATATAATATTCACTTAATAAATTGCATATAAATATTATATATATAAAATTATGTAATTTTTTTGCACTGTGTTTACTATCTACTATTAGTAGATACCTACTATTAGTTAAGTGTTAAATTATTACACTATATGCATAAATATAAATGTGAAATGGTCACAACTTAATGCCGCGGAAATTATAATAGCAAATTTCTACATTCATATACGCATTTTGGTTGAATATATAATAATAATAAATTCTCATTTATTCTGTTATACAACTTTTATCGAAAACATGCATTACGCGTTTGATGTCATTGAGTATTTGATATTATACAATATATTATTATGAAGCATTTGATGTTATAATTAATTAGTTCTAATTATATCGGTTATTCGAATTACTTTACGACACACACAGCATGTATATACAGAGTATCTCACGGAAAGATGCAATTAATCAGCTGTTATTTTTAAACGTATATAGAGAGAAGAAAGTAAAATATCTTCTAAATTATCTTTTTTGTTCTTCTAACATTTAGTAGTTTTATTTACATAATGATAAAGATAATCAGAGGTATTTTTATCATTTAATAAATGTTTATAAAGAAATATGTTTATAAAGGTCTATAATCTTAATGATATAATATATTTTTGAACTACGTCTCTTTTGAAATAAAGAATTTCGTTATCTTGTAAAATGTAAACCGTCGGAATTGAAACAGATAAACTCAAGTCTCTCTTGTGACGAATAGCATACAAAAAAATGTTGTATAATGTTTTCTACAGAGAGTTTTCGAAAGAGACTTGATATGAAAATATACTATATCATTAAGCTTATCAACATTTTTTTAGAAACGTTTATTAAATGTTAAAAATATCTTAGGAACATTTTGTATTTATCTATTAAATACTGATTTTTGTATTTATCTATTAAATACTGATCAGTACTAATAAATTAGATGACGAGACTATGCTAATACGATATGAAAATATCATATCATAAATCATTTTATCATCTCCAAAATGTTAGTTTACAGTATCTTTGTATAAGCATAATTATAGACGTATTTTATTTCTAATCATATACAGGGTGAGTTTTAATGGTTGTGTCAATTTTTTTTATCATACGGAAGATTACTGATCGCAATTTTAATAAATTGATTGATACATAGTTGTCATTAATTGAATCGACCGTATCAAAGGCTAAAATATAATTTGTACAATTAAAGCAAGTTAAAAGCTGAAATTATGTAATGTGGATTTATTATTATTATTAAAACTACACATTTATTATTATTATTATTATTATTATTATTATTATTATTATAATATTATTGTTGTTATTATTATTAAATATATATGTTATTATATTTATTATTATTATTATTTTACTGTGATCAAATTAGGGATTTATTATTATACATATTCGATATATTAAAGCAGAAGCAGTACATATTTAAAAATTCAATTCAAATTTAACACTTTAACGTTTTATGTAAAACTTTATTTCAAATTCCGCATTTATTTTTATGATAAATTTTTATTGTGTTATATGCTAAAAATATGCAGCAAAAAATTTTCTTTCTACTTAAAATAAAATTACACAATTGTTTCATAAGAATGTATTTCTTGTGAAACAATTGCGTGATTTTATTTCAAGAAGGCAGAAATACTACATACCTTTAGCGTATAACAATCATAAAAATAAGTACGGAATTTGAAATAAAGTTTTACATAAAACGTTAAAATGTTAAATTTGAACTGAATATTTAAATATGTATTCTTATTGCTTTAATATATTAAATATGTATACGTAGCTTTAATAATAATAATAATAATAATAAATATAATAATATATATTTAATAATAATAATAATAATAATAATAATAATAATAATAATAATTATTATTATTATTATTATTATTATTATTATTATTATTATTATTATTATAAGTGCTTTAATAATAATAATAAATTCATACTACATAATTTCAGCTTTTAACTTGCTTTAATTGTATACATTATATTTCGGCCTTCGGTCGATCCAATTAACTGACATCTATGTCGATCAATTTATTAAAATTGCGATCGGTAATCTCCCGAATGATAAAAAGATTGACACAACCATTAAAACTCACCCTGTATATGTATGTTTTTTATATATTGTAGTATATTATTTTGTCTATATAAATACTGCTTCGGAAATGCTTTCAAAATAGAAACTTATCCCATTTGTTTAATTATTCCAAAAATTGTTACATTATCAATCTTAAATGAATCAAACCTGGGCATATTTCGAAGAATCTAAACGACTTTGATGGAAGAATCGAATATAATCAACAAATAACAATTACTGTTATTTTATGATTATTACTGTTATCGTAAGACTTACAATAAACTATGTTATGAACTTAAGTATATACTGCATATTATATTTTTCTATATATGTAAATCCTAATTATAATAGAAAAAATAATTTTATAAAAGTATTTTTTTCTTTGAAAAGTAACTCGAAAAATATTATATATGTATAATGTAATATGTTAATTTACAAATTTGTTTTTAGCGTATAAATATTTATGAGAATTACATAATCTCATTAAAAATAACAATCATTAAACTTTTTTTTATCAAAATTTTTTATTAATATTTAAAAATTGGATTGGATTAGGGATGATTTTTAATCAAAATATGTACATTGAACGCATTGAACGCATTGGAATCATAAAAAGGAATAGAGTATATTTGTAACTAACTACAAGGATGAAAACAAGGATGAAAATAAATTAAATTTGTTATCGAACAATATTTAATATTAATTTCTATTCTAGACAAAAAAAGATAACGCCGTTATCAACTTGTTGCTTCGAGAGATGATAACTGTAATGATTACGTCATCATGTACATACATACATACATACAAATGTACAATTATACATTCTAATTTGTAAATACTATGCCGTGAAATGACGAGCACAATGATGCGATCTACCTATCTCAGAATGTCGCAAATTTTGAAATTCTTTAATTACAAGGTCACTTTCTTCTACTATCATTGATATTGTCACATTATATTATATGTGTTAACTAAGCTTGATCGGAAATTACTGGAAAAATATGATAAGTTTAAGTCTACAATCTAAAATCTATAGCTGTGTTCGGAATTTATAGTATTGTCAATATATGCCTTATTTACGAATGTTAGATATTGAATATTAGTGAAAATAAAAAAATGCTGTTTATGTATAATTTATAAAATTAATATTGAATCATATGAATTATAATATGTTTTTGACCAAAAAAATCATCTTTTTTTGGTCAAAAACATATTATAATCATGACGACATAATCGTCAAAAAAAATTTTTTTTAAAGTCTGATATAAACTGCAGTGTTGAGTGAATATTCTCTTGACTTTTTCCCAAAGAAATAAAAAGCCAAAGTCAATTATTATTTTATTGTCATTGTTGGTTATAGTTTAAATTAAACATATATAAATTATACATAGAGATACATATAACAATGTGCTTAAGAAGGCTAGATTAATACGCGTTAATTCATATTCGCAAGAAATTGCGAATCATTGTTTGAATTGTGAGCATCGTAATATCGCGAAACTATTGGTGAAACGGTACTGCTAAATTTTAGTACAAATGGAAGATGTAGGTAACCGGTAAATACGGGATCTAACTACGCAGAGGGATAGAAGGATGAGATAAATCACACGCTGTTGTTCGTGTTGCCGTACTCACATTTCACGATACACGTTGTTTTAATCCACTAGCATTA